GTGCTACATTGTTGACTGTGGAAATTGAACCGTCTTCTATTCATCAAATCATTGCTTATATAGTGATTACACCTCAGCTTCCTCCAACAAGGTGAGAAGAGTATTACCTGTAATTGGGGAAAGGATTGTAGCTTCTGTAATTAGTTATGCTATTAAGATAATGAGATAATGGAGCGAGTATAAGATTAACTCGCTACAGGACTCCCCCTGCCAGGGAATGGAAGAAAAGCCATATAACAAAAAATACGAGGCTACTGTTCCCTGGGTCGCTGTGGAACATGTAGTCCAGTACCAAAAGATGCAGGCAGTGTGTGGACAAGCTCAGTGTAGTAGGAGAGAAGAATGTGCATGATTGTTGCGTCTTTGGGTCGTTGGTGGAGCATTTAGATCCGGGGCGGATGGGCTCGGGCACCAGGACAATAGGAGGTAATGTAGGCACGTAGTTGGGACAACGAGGGAATCATTGCTAGAGTTGAATTGTCCTGGAGGCGACGAAGAGTCGGAAATGCAAGCTGTAACTCCTGTACTGCGCAAAGTGCTTGAGTCGGCAGAGTATCAGAATGCAGTGAACGTGTAGATGAATCTGACGAAAGATCAGCTTTCGTGGGAGTCCCTGTAGAACAAGCAGTGCCCTGGCAGCGACGGAGAGTTGGCGGGACAGGCTGTAGATTCCACATGATGTAGTTGCTGATGAAACTGACAGATGAGTGAGTAACGCTCGCTGTGCAGCAAGCTGTAGTTGATGAAAAGGCAGAGACGATCGCGGTGAAAATCATAGCTGTGGCGAAAGTGTTAGCAGCGTTCCGTGACAGGTGGCAGCAGTTCACAGCAAGCAGTAGCAGTAGAGGTCCAGTGAGAGTCCATGTTGTAGTCCATCGTGGCTGGGTATCGTCGAAACTCTCTGGGGTCACCAATGTAACGTACGATTATGTTACGTTGTTGGGTTGATTAGATACAGTGTTTAGTGAGTTTCATATTTATTTAGTAGTCCTGGATACAGCAGTGTTGTAGACGTTGAGACGAAGCCTGGAGCAGAGAAGAGAGCTGAGTGAGGCCGGAGTCGTGGAGCTCTATGTGGGAGAGCGTGGCGGCTTGATTGAGAATTGTGAGTGTCTGAACTTGGGGAGCGAGAGCGTGGCGGCTCGATGCGGTCGTAGTCTGCTGTCTGCTCTGTGTCGAAGCTGTAGCGTCTTGGGTCAATTAGGACTGTACACGCCGAGTGCTACATTGTTGACTGGAGATTGAACTGTCTTCTATTCATCAAATCGTTGCTTATATGGTGATTACACCTCGGCTTCCTCCAACAAGGTGAGAAGAGTATTACCTGTAATTGGGGAAAGGATTGTAGCTTCTGTAATTAGTTATGCTATTAAGATAATGATATAATGGAGTGAGTATAAGATTAACTCGCTACACGTCCATCTAGGAATCTTCAAACGACTTTTTTAGGTTCCTTTTCAAAATAAACTTGTGGTCAATTATTCATTTACAGGTATTAGTGACCAGGATTATGGTTATAATGAGCGTTGTGGGTAGGAAGGAGGAATTTTGGTGAGGAAGGGAGAGAATTGAGGTAGCCTCACTGTGTGGCAGTAACTCTTGTTTTGCTCACCGTACTAGCTTCGTGGTTCGCTATGGAGAACACACATGTACATGGGTATATGCAGTGTGTGAATAGTGTAATAACAGCACCAGGAGTATGTTGTGAGGAGCTATTTTGGTGAGGGAGGTGACATCGTAATCGTGGCGTCGTCTGCTGTGTGACTTGTGATGAAGTGTATGGTGGCCACTGTACTGTTTGGACGCAATAGCGGCTTACTTGCATAGTTCTGGTAAATAAAACATGTAGATAGGTATATATAACATGTGTAAATCGTGTAATAAATACAATAACAGTATGGTGGGAGGAGCAATGTTAGCGAGTAAGATGTTGGAGTGAGAGAGGGCTGGCTGGGTGTGGCTGCTCACACTCGCGGTGTTCTGAGTGTGTTGATGGTGAATGTATATAGTGTATGACAGTGTATAGTGTGTACTTATGTTGTAAATATACATAAATGAACATGAAACATTGGTGTGAATAACTATGATTTGGAGGAGCAATGTTGGTGAGTAAGATGTTGGAGGAGTGAGGGAGGGCTGGCTGAGTGTGGCTGCTCACACTCGCGGTGTTCTGAATGTGTTGATGGTGAATGTATATAGTGTGTGACAGTGTATAGTCTGTAAATAGATTGTATATATACATAAATTAGCATGATACATGATAAATATGTGCAACATATGTGTACACAAGTGTCATGCACGTAACACAGTGTCCTCAGACAGTACGGATGTTTTACTGCCATAATATAGTGTACATGTTCATTATACATAGGATCAGCACGTAAAAACAAATGAAATGTATTTGGAACTATGCGCAAAAAATGAACATAAATATATTCACGGCAACTCACGCGCCTCGCCCCGGGCGCCCTACTGGCCCCGGGAGCTTACTGCACGGGCGAACGGGGAATGATGACGTCACGCGCCAACTTACGGACCCCATAGCAGCCAAAGTAAGTACAAGTTCACATTTTTTTTGACATACCCATACTGGGGGAAGGGTTTTTGACACTTTAAAAAAAAAAAAAAAACTTTCAAGAGAATTTATTTCCTGCGCACTGGGGGGGTGTCATATTTATAGGCCGCGCATTTAAAGGGTTAATGAACAAAAATGGTACCGGAGAACACTTGGCGATCATACCCTTCAAAAATGAGATCTTGAACATGTATAAAATGTGCAATGAACAGTGAATACCATGAATAAGAAAATACTGGTGAGCTGAAAACATCCACCATACCACCACAGCATTTGACACAACATAGGCTGGTAGCAGACGACAGGTGAGGGGAAGCTATGATGACCCAAGAGCACCAGGAGAGACTGTCTCCTCAGGGTGGCAGTGCCCTTTATATAGCCCATCGGTGATTACATCACTTACGGTGTCAACGCAAGTTGTAACAAGTACTGTCGCGTGCAGTACGTGCAAGGCTCGTAATTCTGTGGCGCGGGTTCGATTCCCGCACGAGGCAGAAACAAATGGGCAAAGTTTCTTTCACCCTGAATGCCCCTGTTACCTAGCAGTAAAATAGGTACCTGGGTGTTAGTCAGCTGTCACGAGCTGCTTCCTGGGGGTGGAGGCCTGGTCGAGGACCGGACCGCGGGGACACTAAAACCCCGAAATCATCTCAAGATAACCTCAAGATACTGGGTGGCAAACTGCTAGTTTATGACTGGCGGCACTGCTGTGTAGAGGCTGTACCACTGCTAGTTAAAGTGGCAAACTGCTTGTTTACGGAGGCTAACTACTGGTTAGCAGAGGCGCCCTGCCTGCCAACAAGCCGTACCAGGCACAAGGGTGGTACGGAGTTGTGGAGCGTGTGGCAGGTCAGATGACTCATGTTGGTTGTCATAGAGGTAGACTTCCAGTATGGAGACATGGAAGGGGAGTGGAAAAGGCAGTTCTACTGCTATGCAGGTGATTTTCGTGACAGTGTATATACAGTATTGATGAAAAATCAGAATACATATTATATTTGCTATGAAAGGAAACATTTGTGTATGCATAAGTGTGACACAAATATGAGAGTGAGTATTGATTTTATGTAAGATTTATTATAATAGAACATCAAGTGACAATATATTGAACAATATCAGTTAATTAAAATGTGATAAAATACATCATAGACATTGTAAATAATGGCACGAGAATAAATTCGTGGCAACTCTGGCCAATTTAATGCCGCGCGTGACGCCATGGTGACACACACATTGCATAAGCGAGCAAGTTTGATGATGTCACAGGTTAAATTTCTCAGCTCATTCATGTCAATGTTAAGTAATGTTAATTTGTTTTCTGTGATCAGAAAGCACATTTTAACATTTTTGAAGGAACAAATTTTTTTCTCTCTCTTGCGCATAGCAGTGTTGTTAGCTATTAATAACTGCGCTTCCCAGGGGGTTAGAGTCATAAAATGTAGTTTGTTCACTTAATATTTGTTACACATAATGTTTATAGGAATGTCAGATTGATCTTTTTTTTTTTTTTAAAGTTGAAATTTTTGTATCTAAACAACTGAGGATCGGGAAGTGTAATTTTAGAAACTTGTCCTCAAGGAGGAGGTACCCTTGAGGTAATCACTTCAGAACCACTAGGTTACATTAGAGTTGGTTTCATTACTTTGTTACATTAATACAGTGCATTATTCTCAAACATGAGAAATATGAAATTCATAACTATTTAAGTATCCCATAGAATTTCATTTTCAGAAAAGCAAATTCTTCAGATCATTTCAATGAAAATGAATTAAGCATAACTTTTTATGTTTTAAACCAACAATTGATACTACAATAAAGTTATACCTTGAGAATATTCTCAGTTTAGGACAAAGGTTCACTTGCCAGTTTACAAGTAGACTTTTATTGGAACTGTAATATGTTTTCAGGTCATCACAAATATCTAAATAACTATCCAGTTGGTGTAAGAATGGGTTTGATGTCTCGTGGTAATCACTTTACCCTGGGGGCAGGCTCAATTTTAGTGTTGGGTTAGGTTAATAAATTAATATTGTTGAAGCCCTTCATTGATCAAGCAGATCAACTCCAATATGGTAACCTGAAATCTAAATTATTTGAGTACTATTAGTACTGTTGTGAATGGTTATTTTTGGACCCTCCCAGTAAGAATTCTTGCTAATCTGGCTTCTGGCTAACTCTTAAAGGATTGGACCCCATATGATCCTGATTAGCGAGGATAGACAATACCTCTTTTGATATTACTCATTTCTTTTTGTTGTCATATTGGCATCTTTAATGATATCTAGAAACTCTGGAATTTTCTTTAACATAAACATTGTTATATAGCCATCCTGGCTAAGTGCTTTCTGTTGGTACATAATTGCCTACTTATGATATCTCTTATGGGATACTGTACTGATGACATAAGCAAATTTTTCTTCACCAGCTGGCCATTGCAAGTGACAAGGTATTGGACCTCAATGAGTGCTTGCTGACACTCCATCTACATACATCACCAAAAAATATGAAAGGCACCAAAGATTTGTGTGTTGAAATGACAGCAACTCAAGCAGATAGTTTATTAAATCAGCTTAAAGATGCACAAAAGGTTCTTGCTGAACTGCCTCCTGAGTAAACACCTGTACAGTTTTTTTTTTTTAAGAATTTATTAAAGATTTTTATGCCAGATTTGTTTGGTTAAATATTTAAATGGAAATTCCTTGATGTGGGATAGATTGAAAGTTTTTAAAGAGAACTTTACAAGCTTTGTTAAAAGAAATTTGTTACTTTTTTGTACACTGTAGTTAATTGATTTTCATTATAAACCAAGTATCATGGTCTTTTGATTAATGGATAGGATTATATTGCAAATTGTAAAGTTAAGCTAAGCCATGTTGTAATGTTTTCATACATTAGATTTAATTTTGACATTAGAGTTTTGTAAGAAAGTTTTAATATATGAATAAATAGAAGACTTTTCTGTTTATTAATAAATTATGTTGCTTTTCTGGGGGGGAGCCTCTTCGGCTCCCCGGAGCTATCCAAGCTGATATGTATATCCCAAAACTTTGGCATCTGTCAATGTGAATGGAGTTCTAGGCCTACTGGAAACCACGGCCAAAACCTGGCCCCCCCTCAGAGAGCCACGGGGAGCAATGGCCTATAGAAATGCACAAGGGATTTGGAGCATTCTATATCTGCCATCGACTGGGACAGGCACCCAGAAAGGTAAGCACCTCAAAACAAACTCCTATTCTGGTTAAAACAAACTTAATTAGACCAACTAGTGGACAGAACTCCCCAAATAAAAACGAGCAAACAAGCATGACAAGCCGTGCTGCATGTCTGCACAGCTCCCCCCTCCCCGGGAGGGGGAAGGGGGAGCCCCAGACCCCCACCAGTTCTTCAGCTGATGTGATTGTGGCATGGTTGTGTGGCTCCAGCGCCAGAATCTTTTTGTTGTGCTGTACCTTGGGTCCAGTACTGCTCTTACGGTGGCAAGCGAGCTGGGAGTAATATTCACAGGTACTCGGGCTGCATATGCTTGGGGTTACCTTCCCTGAGTGTCCTGTAAGTACCAACCTTGGGGCTTGGGGTTCTCTTCCACAAGTCACCTTGAGGTCTACCTCAGTTGGTCTTTTGCTGCTCGGCGATTGAGCCTCCTGAGTATTTTGGGATGTTTTCGCCCCTGTTTACTTTGGGGTAAATTTGACTCCTTATTATTTGACTTCTTTCAAATAACAATGGTCAGCTTACAGCCTCTGATACTGCTATTGAGTTCAATAGGTTCTTCTCTTCCATTGGGTCATCCCTTGCAAATGATATTCCATCTTCCAGTACTGATGTTAAGGACTATCTTACAGGTAACTATCCACATTCTCTGTACCTAACGCCTGCAAATTCCACTGATGTTAATGAGATAATCCTTTCTCTTAAAACCAAGTCTAGTGCCCTTGAGGAGATACCAACTTTAATTTACAAAAGAGCCTCCAGATCTTTAGCCCCTGGATACCAACTTTAATTTACAAAAGAGCCTCCAGATCTTTAGCCCCTGCTATTGCATTGCTCTTCAACAAGTCACTTGAACTCCAAACCTTTCCAGATATTCTAAAAAAAGTGAGAGTAACCCCTGTCCACAAATGTGGTGATCTCACAGATGTTAACAACTACAGACCTATATCAATCCTTCCAAACTTGTCAAAAATATTTGAAAAACTAATTTACAAGCAGCTTTACTCTTATCTAGCCAAACTCAATATATTTAGCTCTTGTCAATATGGTTTCAGACCCAAAAAAAGCACTAATGATGCACTTATTAGTATGATTAACTTGATACATGCAGCTCTTAATAAAAATGAGTTCCCTGTTGGGTTATTTGTGGAGCTACGTAAGACTTTTGACACGGTCAACCACCAAAACCTTCTTCTTAAATTACATCATTATTGAGTCAGAGGTCACTCCCTGTAATACCTCAAATCTTACCTTACTGACAGGCTCCAGTATGTTACTGTGAATAATTCAATTGCTCCCACCCTACCCATCAACATTGGTGTTCCTCAGTCAGCATACTTGGCCCCTCTCCTCTTTCTCATCTACATTATTGACCTTCCAAATGCCTCCCAACACCTCAAACCAATTCTATTTGTTGATGACACAACCTTCATTTATTCCAGTCCTGACCCCCTTGCTCTTAATGTCACAGTGAATACTGAGCTAAATAAAGTCCATCTTTGGCTAAATGGCAACAAACTCACCCTCAACATTGACAACTTTCTATATTTTGTTTGGCAATAAATCCTCAAATCAAATAAATCTCAGGATAAATAATACACAAATTTGTAACAAAATAGATGGCAAATTCCTTGGCGTTCTCATTGACCACAAACTGAATTTCCAGGGACACATTCTAAATATATCAAAAAAAGCTTCAAAAACTATTGGCATTCTTTCTAAGATCAGATATTATGTAACTCGCCCTGTCCTGGTGATGCTCTATTACTCCCTCATCTTTCCTTATCTCAACTATGGTATTTGTGCTTGGGATTCTACTACCCAAAATCATTTATGTCCTCCAATTACTCAACACAAAGCTGCTATTAGGACAATATCCAACTCGGGCCCCAGACATCACTTGGTACCCCTACTCAAATGTCTGAATATGTTAGATATTAAGTCACTGCACATCCTCTCATATGTATTATATATATATGAAATGCTGAACTGTAATGCCAATCATGACCTTAAAAGCTTCATTGAAGGTTGTAACAGAACCCATGAGCACCACACCAGAAACAAATACCTTTCTGATATTCCAAGAGTATGACTTAATCAAACTAGAAATGCTCTACAAATCAAGGGACCCAGAATGTGGAATGACCTTCCCAATCATGTTAAAGACTGTACCTCTCTCAACCAGTTTAAGATAAAAACTAAGCACTACCTAATTAACTCCCTGTAACCTACTATACCCCTATAATGTCAACCCATATCTGTTATTTTTTTAAACAATGCTGTTTGTTGACCAAATTGTATTTTGCTGTTTTTCTGCCATGTTCCCACTTTTTTATTTTTATATTTTCTCAACACATTTTATACTTTAATCTCAATTAGTATTAAGTTTTAGTCTTTAGTGTTTTTCCTGCCCGAAACGCTTTGCGAAATAGTGGCTTTAGGCATTGTATGTACTAGCTCTATCTACAAATTCATCAATATTTGTATCACCCCTTGTATGTATGTACTTTACCTAAATAAACATTTGATTTCATTTGATTTGACTTTTTGGGTAAGTGGTAGTTTTGGCACTGGTAGGGGGCATGAGGTACTGCGCAGCTAGTTTTCACCTATAACAGCGGCCGGCTCTATTCCTCCTGGGTACGTTGTCCTCTTGCAAGGGGTTTTCTTTTTCTTTTTGGCTGGTGGGGGTCTGCCTTGGTGTCTCTTCCTGCAGTTATATTAGGGTTTGACCTTCTGTTTTTTTATGGTACCCCTGCTTCACCCTCGTAAGTAGACACCTCCCGGGGGTTCAGCATTAGCAGTTTGTTTGATAGCATTGGGTGCTGTTTAGCAGTACCCTGCCTGGGCTTACCTTTAGTGATACCAGTCTAGGGGCCCTGGGAAACCCCACGGGGGCACATGGGGTCTGATGGATGCGACCCTTGGGTCCCCTCTTGCCTTGTGCGAGTTTGAGGGTTGCTCTGTCCCCTTATCTTCGGGCGACACTCATAGTTTTTGCTTCCGTAATGCTGCCTGTTGGGTCGGTGACACCTTCGACTCGGAGTCCTGCGAGCATTGTTGCTTGTTTGTGACTCGATTTACCCACTCTACTGATGAAATTTTTCAGATGCAGGCAGCTCATGCGTTTTAGGCTAGGTTTAGGTTGCTACAACGTGCTATGTTGGTTGCTTAACCGGATGCCCCGCTTTGCGTATAGGGACCCGGACTTGGGGGTTTGGTTGCGTCGGTCTTGGTTCAGTCCACACCCCCTTGTTCTTCCACAGCTGTGGTTCATTCTGCCCCCCCCCCCCCTTCCTTCCCAACTGATTCCGGCTCCTATGCATCTGAGGACTTTGGGGTCGGGGCAGGGTTTAGAGGTTTCTGAGACTTGGGCGGTTTCTTAGGTTGTCCCTTCCGGGGTGGCAATGGAGGCATTCGAGCCTGTTCATCCAGCCATACCTCAGGGGTCTGACCAGTGGGGCCCCCCCCCTCTCTTCCTGCTTTTTCGGCCACCCCTTTTTCTGTTGATCAGGTATCCTCCAAAGGATACCTGATCAGCCAGACTGTGACTCATATGTCAGGCTGCGAGCAGCCACGTCCAACAGCCTGGTTGATCAGTCCAGCAACCAGGAGGCCTGGTCGATGACCGGGCCGCGGGGACGCTAAGCCCCGGAAGCACCTCAAGGTAACCAGAAGCACCTCAAGGTAACCCCGGCTTTTTTCTTGTGAGGCCAGGACTTTGGAGGATGACTCACTCCTGGGGCCTGATGTGTAGGTTCCCGGGGTTGGGGAGGGGCTGACCCCGTTGGACCCCGCCTGGGTTTTCCAACCCTCTGTGCGGGGCTTTCTGTTATGAGGAGTGCGATTCTCTTTTCCCTCCCCTCTGCGTACGAGTTAGTTTGGGCGTCGGCCCCTCCCCAGATTTGGTTCTGTGTCCCTTCAGGTCCGTCCTTCCTATGGGTAATTTTAACCGCTTTCTCAACCTTTTTATCTTGGACATGTATTCTTCTACATCATGTCGCAATCATGTTCAAATCGTATCGGGATCACTGCATAACCATTGGTCCTGGATGCTGATGGGCCCACATGAGCCTCCATGATTTTGTGCTTGATTATCAAGGTTCCCAAAGGTACGAGAAAATCTTCGATCCTTAAAATATTATTGGAATGTCTGTCGCCTTCAGGTGAAGCTTAACCCCAGTTCTTTATCGGACGTGTTGGTACTCTTACATACTACTTGTCTCCTTTCGATACTAGGAGCGGGTAACTCCTGATCCCCCTCTTCGGCCTGCTGTGGCGGTGCACAAACTAAATACATCACCATGTGTTGCAGTGCATAGAGACATGTGTATTCCCTTATGTTCCTTCATCTGGGATTTTGGGGGAAGGGGGAAGGCAGCACACTTGTTTGGTGTTGGGACAGGGCAGAACAAGCGGTTCAGTGAGGCCCACCTGAAACAATAGGTTCGTCTGGTTAGCCCTGCCTAGTTAAACAATTAGTCAAATGGGCAATGTGGGTTTGGTACCTCTATCGGTCCCTGGGATATCGTTCAGCTCCTCAATGGTTACTCACATATACTGTTACAGTTATCCCTGGGGTTGCTTGCCCATGTGCTAGTGAGTCTCATGTATACCCCACAGAGTCACGGAGACTGTGCAGCGAAGTCTTTCTCAGTTTTATGTATTCATCTGACTCTCTTTCCCCTTCTCAGACTCGTGAGGTGGGTGACCAAACCCCCAAGTCAGGCCATGTTGGAAGATCAGA